TTCAGTAAAGGCTATCGTCGGTCCCTGGCATTCTTCAGGCCGAGGTCTTTTATATCCGACCTGGTTTACGTGTTGTAAGTGTTTTACCTTCTGGGTCTCCCCTCGTATGTCGTTTTCGTTCACTTTTGAGTGAATTACATTAACCACCCGTGGTCCTCCTACCTGTGGTTGCTGTGCTGGGGGAGGCAGAGCTACTGGTACTTGAGGTAATCTTGCTTGTTCTTTCCTTGTCCTGGCTTCATTGACAAGGTCCCTCAGATGGCCTTGCCTCACCAAGTCTTCTAGGTGTGCTTTTAGGGCTCTGCAATCCTGAGTTGAGTGCCCTTCTTCATTGTGGTAAGCACAACGCCTACTGACGTTTCTTCCCATAAATTCCCCTGGTGTTCTTGTCGCTCCTCTGAAATAGGGTTGGTTTCGTATTTGATTTAGGACTTTGTGGATCGGGACTCAGAATACAGTCATTACTGCCTGTTTAGCCCTCAATTCTGTTTTTTGTTTGATCGGTCCATTGTTACCTCGACTTCGCTTCGGCGAGCCGTTTCCTTTCTCCTACTTTGTCTCTTTGTTTCCCGACGTATCCTCTTCGGCTCTGGCATACTTCTCAATTCTCGCCATGAGTTCTTCCATACTTTTTGGTAATGTCTTTGCCAAAGACTTCCGTAGTGGGCAGTCATCTTTCAGGCCGTTCTTGAAAGACACGACTGCGACCTCTTGGTTGCATTCGGGTATTCGATTGAATACCTCGTAGTATCTTTTTGCGTGGGCCCTATGGCCTTCATCCTTGGTGATTTTTAAAGCCATCAGTGCGTCGACCCTCAAGGGCTGTAGTTTATTTGTCACAAACTTGGCCACAAACATCTCGGCCAGGCCTTCCCAAGTCTTTACGCTTCCCTTCAGTAGTTTATGGAACCAATCTGATGTAATTTCCCCAAAAGATAAGGGGAATACTTTGCAGAGCAACGGCTCGTTCCCACTATATAATACCATTGAATTCAGGAATAGTCCAACATGAAAGTTGGGATCTGACTTACAATCATATATTTGGAACCTCGGCATACTGAATCTCTTTGGTGCTTCAAATTTGTCCAGTTCCACCGAGAATGGTGTCTTCAGCTTGACCGGGGAAGTTACCTCGGCTTCAGCATTCTGTTGTTTCCTCTTGAGGTAATCTCTCAAGTCTTCTTTACTCCTTCCTAGAGCTCGGCTATCTTTGGACTTCAATCTTTTCGGCACACTACTTTCGGCCTCGTGGTGAGCCCGTTTTGATCTTTCTCCATGGGTTGTGTCAAAGCAGAGCGCCTGCCCTTGAACATGCCGATGTTCTTTGGGCTCTGGGTTCTTCGTGTGGTACATCCTTCGGGACTCCTCTCGTCTCGACTCCTCTCGCCCGACTTCCCTGGAAGGTCGGTGAGAGTGCCTTCCGCTTTTGGCGTGCTGAGGGGCTTCGGGGATTGTTTTCCTTCCTCCCTTCTGGGTATTAGTTGCTGGAATCGGCGTGTCGTGCAGCGGGTATGGTGGCTGCATGACATTGTTTTGCATCATGAAGTTGACGACCGACTGCAGGTCTGCCAACTTGTTTGCCAATTCTTTTACTTTCTCATCCCTCCGAAGGCACCTATCCCTCCATACCTGGAGGTTATATTCGTTATAGTACTTGCTTTGGTCTGTCTTCTTCGAAGTGTCACCCTCCTGGCTGACGTCTTTCTCTCCGTGGCCCTGGTCATGAGTTTCTGCATTGTGGTTGTCTCCTTCAACGTCAAGGTCAATTGGTCTGCCACTCCCAGCAAGAGTGTCGTCCACAATCTTTTCCTTCTATCCGTTACTGGCCATTTATTCTTCTAAGTTCCCACAGACGGCGCCAAATTGTGTGAGTAATTTTCTGACCACACTGCCCGTTTAGTAATCAACTAGAGAGCACTGGCAGAATAGATGGCCTCAGTTAACCTGTAACAGAAAGAAAAGGCTCCGGCAGTGGCTCTTCCACCCGGGGGCATTTCGACGATCAAGTCAGTACATCTCTCAAAGATAATCAAGTGCTAAACCCACTACTCAAATCATAAAATGCGTACCTTAGACCCACGGGGGTGCCTCTCTTTTATAGTTTACTTAATCCTAGTCCCACTAGAAGCCTCACTTCTATGGACTCCGATTCAGTACTTACTTTGGACTCCTCATGAGATAAAGATAAACTCTCCAAAAGCTTTATCCTTATCTTGGCTAAATCTCTTGTTTATTCTAGGACTCTTGTCCCTTATCCGTTTATCTCAGATTCCGATATCTTCGGAGATAACCTCGGCAACGCCGAGATCACCTCGCCATCACGACCAGGACACGTGACACGTCGGCTGACACGTCGGCGTCACCTTGCCATGTGTTGGTACTCAGAAAATATATCCCCACACTCTACTTTTGTTTCCTGTGACTAGGATGGGAGTATGCACAACAGTACAGTTTTGCATTACATTATAAGTAATGACGTGTATCGATTCCCATATCCTGAACTAGATAAAAGTTGATTGTTAATAAAATTGTATGCAATAATTATTTCATATATATGCACTAGTTTTTGTAAATTTCTTTACTTTATATAAATGTTACGTGATATATGATAATTGTTTATGTGCAGATAAATACTACTTGGTTGATGGTGGGTATAATAATTAGAAAGGGTTCTTGGCACCATTCAAGGGCTACCGGTATCACCAACCGGCTTATCCCAACCGACGGCCATGGGATGACTACGAACGCTTTAATAGGGCTCACTCTTTGTACATAGTTGCATCAAGAGAACGTTTGGGGCGTGGAAATCAAGGTGGCGCATCATGAGGAACATGATGAAATACGATTTTCAAACAGTACAAGTTTCCTTAGCTACAACATCAATGACCTTACATAATTTTATAAGATGAAATAACCTCATTGATGAAGTAACGCAAAATATCCAAAATGCTAAGGAAGCATTGAACTTTCTTGACCACCTAACAATGACAATAATTGGAGAAATAATGATGCCAGGAAATGAAGACATTGAAATGGCCAATGTAAGGGCGGCTACTGCATGTGCGTTGGTAGCGTGAGTGCAAGCGTAGTAGCTTTGTTGGTGGGGGCAATGGGAAGTAGATTACAAGATTGTTTGTGTATATACGAGAAATGTAAATTATGTTATTTAAAACACTCTGTTTTTGTCTGTCAAAGAAAAAAAAAAATCATGTCATGAAACGTTGAGGGTTAAAAAAAATGATTAAATTTTTTTTAACAAGTTATTTTTATTTACAGATTACTAAATAAAATCTTCTTTCTTTTAGATCATCATGTTATATTTTCCTATTAAACTTGGCAGTTGTTAATTTTTATTATGCAAAATCGTGATGCCAACATAATAAAACGAAACGGTACAAATTCATGAGAAATAGATTTGTACAATTATTGACAAATGTGGTCAAATAGATTGGAGCAAGAGTGTTGTTTTGCAAATACATGAGTATTTCCACAACACATTTTTCCTTTTTAATCGAAACAAGAGTTTCGCAACAAATTGGGTGAAAAGAATTTTAATTTGACAAGTTTGGTTTGGGCTTGACTTTTGAAAAACTTTGTGAAATTTTTTATTAGAATCGTCATGCAAAATGCAAAAAAATTAAATTAAAAAAATTAGAATATAAATTATGATTAAAAAAAAATTGTTTCAATTTGTATAAATTATTTGACAAAAACATATTTCAAACATTAAAAATATTCTTTTTTACAAAAATAAAGCATGCGTTTATAAAATTTTTGTTATCAACAATCCTAATCCCAAAATTAAAAAAAAAAAAACATGGTACAAAAAAAATTGAAACAGTAAAACAAAAAAAAAAATTAAATCCAAACGTACTATCTTTTGACACAGATTTCTAACTGCAAATGGACATAAGTGTGACTATTACACCTCATTTCTTGTGTGTTGAACTTGTATGAAATAATGGCCATACAAGTTAGGAGTTTTCTTAAGTGTGCAAGTGCACACCATGTGCCACTTACACAAAAAGTGTAAGTGTAAGGTGTAAGTATAAGTATAAGGTGTAAGTGTAAGGTGTAAGGTGTAAGTGGGTTGCACATGGTGTAAAAAATTAAATCCAAACGTACTATCTTTTGACACAGATTTCTAACTGCAAATGGACATAAGTGTGACTATTACACCTCATTTCTTGTGTAGTGAACTTGTATGAAATAATGGCCATACAAGTTATCACTTGTCGGTGCAGGAGCAAGGACTTAAAAACAAAATTTTGTTTGGTTTTGATTTTTAAAAAATATTTTTTAGAATATTTTATTTTTTTATCACTGCAGGAAATTTGGCTTTTAGCGGCGTTTCAAAAACGCCGCTATAAGTGTTAAAAACGCCGCTAATTATTTTTGCGACGCTTTGCACCAAGCGCCGAGGACGCGGCCGTCGCTATAACTTTATGACGTTTTAAAAACGTCGTTATATTAGTATAGGCGGCGTTTTTAAAAACGCCGCCAAATGTCTTACTTGACAATATCATGACGTCATTATGATATTTAGCCACATTTTTTAAACGCCGTCATATCTTTTTTAAAAATATAACCGTTAATATTTAGGGTTTAAGTGGCGTTTTTTAAAAAACGCCGTGATATCTCCTTTTTTTTTTTTTGAAATTGTGCTAATTTCTGTGATTAAACTAAAAAAATACATATAATAAAACTGAATAACACTAATATGAAATAATAACTTACATTCAAATAGCAAAATGCATCATCAATTCACTTTCCCATTCACCAATCACCATTACCCACAAAATAACATATCCACAAATATTACATAGCAGTAGGGTGTGAAAATACACCATTAATATTTAAGAATACTTGGTTACATAACAGTCTCATATCCAGAATACAAAATTGCTATCATTTGATCAATTTTCTCTTCATCTGTTAGATTATTTCTGTTTTCTTCACCCCCATTCATTAGACCAAGCATGTCATGTTTGGTTTCTTGGCAAGCTCTTCTTTTCCTCTACGAGTTGTCTCAGCATGCTAACAATGTTTTCTTGCCTGTGAGACATCTCAGTTAGACAAAACATACATACAGAAATATTAAAAACTGTAAAACATCGCTTCCAAATTTACGCCTTCATGTTAGTTGTTGGTTTGTTTTGAAATGAACCAACCGAGAGCCAAATATCCCTCCTCTTGTTATTAATTTAGACTAAAGCACAAATTTTAAAAATTGATGATTAAACTGTAACATATCGGATACTTTAGATATCATTAGTTTACTTGACTTAAAAGCAACATGTACTTAAGAAATAAGTTGTTTACTTGGAAACCGCGGTGGTAATTTGTTCCGGGAAAGTTGATAGGCAGAGAAAGGGTTCCCAACACCAGCTTAAAGAATTCAGGCATGAATTCCCCAGACATTGACTCCCATTCAATACTTGCAATTTGGTTAAGCGATGACAAAAATGCCATCTGAACAACAAACAATGTGCAACACAAGTACCTTAAAAACAGTTCAACATTGTGAAAAAAGAAAAAGAAAATGACTAAATCAAACACCTCTTTGGTTTTTTGTTGAATGTCAATGAGTGTGTTGTCCCAATTGCTGAGGTGGCACCTCATGAAGTCATCA